TGGCTGCTGTTACTCTTTCTTATAGGAGGACATCTTGCTCATATCGAAGCAACATCAACTCAACCACTTTTCTTGCCCTTAATGGAGGACATATCGCTTTTACTAGTATGGCATCAACTCTATTGCTCTGGGAAGATGTGCTATTTTCTTTGTAATGTTGTCAACTCCATCATGGTTGTTTCTCATTCTCTCCTTTAAAGGACAGCTCGCTCTTGGTAGAGCAGCGTCAACTCTGAGTTAGAGGATTGCCTCCTGATTTCTTGAGAGATACTCTATGGCCAAGACCTCCTGCTTACATAATCTTTATCATGACATATTCTTTATATGTTGCATCCCTATTAGGGGGAGCCTCTCAACTTGACTCATTTAGTCACTTGAAAGTGGCATTTACCCATAGGGATCTTATCTCTTGGATCCCCACTGGCCTGGGTACTATAGTTACACCTCTCATAGATGTTCTAGGGACATGAAGGGATACCATCATGTCCCAAACATTAATAAACATGTAGGAATCATTAGAAACATATTTATCTCTTTACTTCAGTTCCTAATGCAACCATCATCTATAATATCCCTATCTATTTCTCTTTATCTTTATCCTCAAAGAATACTGCCTGACTCTTACTCTTTCTAACTTCTCTTATCTCTTGACCATACATTCCAATGGCCATACACTAGTTATCATAAACTAACCACATTATATAGTAGGCATAGATCATTCAAACACCTCCGCTGTGTAGCATTCCAGTCAGGGACCTGATAGGGCTGAGCAATGGGCGGGGTGGGCTAACCCGAAGGTTAGCCCATAACCCGCCTATTTATTCATAAATGGGCATGGGCTAACCCATAACCCGGTAGTAGCCCATTTAGCCCGTATTAAATGGGTTACGGGGCAGCTCGTTTGGGCTAACCGGGTTACGGGGTAACCCATTTATTTTTTTTAAAATTTTTTTTCAGTATAGTTATTTTGTATATGTAACCTTATGAAGCTGTCAATAAATTTTGCATGCCAAATAGCAAATCAAATATGAAATAACATCAATCATATTCAATCACACAACCTCACTTAGATTCGCAAACAATCAAAGTCTGATAAAATCATAAAAGTAGTCACCAATCATAAAGTCTCATAAACTTTGAAAGTTCCAACTTTCACCTAAAAGATAAAATAAAAGCTTAGACAAGCATAAATGTTTGATAAAAGATGAATGAAAAACAATATTATCAATTAAATGAAGAATAAAAATATTTTAAAAAAATTAAAACTTAAACGGGCGGGTATGGGCAGCCCAATACCTTGCCCATAGCCCAACCTGTTTAATGGGCTACCCTGCCCATTTAAGCCCGCCCGTTTATAATCTCTTATTTGGGCTAATTGGGCGGGCTTAAATGGGTAAAAATTTCATGGGTCATGGGCGGGCTAGCGGATAATGGGTTTGTTGCTCACCCCTAGGACCTGACATCAATCACTTGAGGCTTAAGCTGTCACTTTGCTTCTCTATTAGGGTAAAGACTCATATCCCTACCAGGCTGATTGTATTCTCAGCCATTACTCTCTAGGGGAGTCTTTTGAGTTTGACTTATATGTTGGTCAAGGTTCCTCAGCTCAATCATTCCTCTCCTGAGAGGGAGACTCATAGCAGTGGCTACCTATTTCTCAGGTTACCCTTTGTTATTGATTACTTTTCCTCTGTGTCCATTTTCCTAAGAAAAACCACCCCAATCTCTTAAACTCAGTTGAACCAATCCTAATAACCTGTTGCTTACTTAGATAGGGATTTCTCTCATACCCAGCTTTGGTTGAATCAATGCTCCGTTTAAACCTTTGCCAGAACCTTTGCTATTTATTTTAGAGTAAACTTGACGGAATTCTTTCTATCGATCCATGATTCAAGATATCTATCTCTGAGTACCAATATTGTCTTTTCATTATAGAGAATTTTTCTAATTTTTCTCAAGTCAAAAGTCAATCCATATACGATTTATTTTTATTTTCCCCAGATAGCATATAAATAGGCTATAAATTCTGTTAAAGTTAACCTCTTCACTTTCTGGGAACAAAATCATTTTTAAAACCTGTGATAATTGTTCAAGTATTTATTTCCTATTTTTCTACAATTATCTAAGGCCTTCTTGTATTTTAAGTAATTAAATTTTTGTTAATATGCATGATTAGCCAAAACATTGAGAATTTCATCAATTTGCTCTAGGGGTATTTTCATCATTTCTAGCCTCATACGGGTCCCAAAACCTCATTTCCCCTTTTTTTGAAATTTTATGGGATTTTCTAGAATTTTCGGGCATACTTCCTATCACTGCCCTTTTCAGCCTGAAATTTTTTGATTTTACAATTAGGTACCTACTCAGGTTTAGCCTCAGAAATGATCTCACTAAGGTTCCCAACACAACCTTTAGCCCTTAATCATCTCTAATTTCTATACTCAAGCCCTTGAGATTTTAACAGAGTCTCTAGGGCCTGTCTCATGGTTCCAGAAAACTCTTACTTTGCAATTTAGTTCCTGGAAATCCTTTTATCCTTTCAAGAAACTTTTGAAACTCCTACTAAAAAGGGTCTAATAGCCTGCTCATTTCAGGCTAATTCTAGTACTTTTAGACCCAAAAGTCAAGATGTTACATGGTCTCCAAGACTGTTGGAGTCTCTATTTTTCTTATTTCTTGGTCCTAGAAAACTCTTTGTCATTTGAACCCTGAGAATCCATCTTATTCTTTTAGAGAACTTTTGGGACTCTTATTAATTGATGTCCAATAACCTACGCATTTTAAGTTATTTCTTATATTTTTAGGCCCAAAATTCAGGATGTTGCACTTAATATCTCTTTTTTTTTCTTGCTAATGAAACCTAAACTCGCTCTAAACCTTGAATTAAATTTTAGGATGTTACAGACTCTGCTTGATAGTCAACAAATTCCGCTTACATTCAATTGTATTATGTGTTGATAAGGAAGGTTCAGGCAAAAACCCCAAGTGCCAAAGTGTATCTTTAAGATCCTGTGCAATTGATTTTAATGTGTTTTTGAAGGGGCTATATAGTCTTTTTACGTTTTTTATTAATGTAATTTGATCTCTTTAGGATCCTGTGCAATTTCCAAGTTTCAATAGACTTTTTACACTGTTTTGTTTTCTATGGGACCTCAATGGCATTTTCCCTTTGAATTTTGCATTGTGTTTTGTAAATTTCAAGACCCAATAAAATATTTAATAGCTAATAATGCACATTTTATGAGGAAAAAAGATACAAAAATACCCTAAAAATGCTAAAGGACAAATTAGGGTAGGTGAATTTCACAGTCCAAAATCAGACCCCTTAAATTATTTTGAAATTTTAAAATATTACAAAATGACAACATTGCCCTTACTCCCAGTCCATTGACTACTTTTGTTTTTGAAATTTTGATGACTACTTTTGTACGACTATGGATTACATAAGAATAGTAAATAACTAAACAAAAAGTAGTCATTAGATTTTCAACAACACTTGTTATATTTTTTTGAATTTTTAAAACAAAAGTAATTAATAGTGAAGCTAGAGTAATCGATAGCTAAATAAGAGTACTCACCAAATTTTTAAAAATGAAAGTAGTGAATCACAATACTACAGTAGTTAGTAGCTAAAAGCAGTAGTCATCGGAGTTTTAAAAACAAATATAGTTAATAGCTAAAAAGGAGTAATCAATTTATAAGAAAGAGCAGCTAACGAAGCTCTGGCAACTAGTCACTGGAGTTCTAGTGACATGTCACCAGAGCTCTAGAGGTGGGCCACCAGTAGGGTTGTCATTGCTAGAGCTTCGATGGCTAGAAATCGGCTAAGGGTGCTGAGGTGGCAATATTTTTTTAAAAAACAAAGTGAAGGGCATTTGTGTAATTTGGCAAGATTTGAAAATCTCAAAATAGTACAAGAGGTCTAGATTGAAATTTTGAAAATGAATTGAGATTTTAAAATTCACCAACACTGATTTCTCTTTTAACAATTTTTAGGATATTTTATTATCTTTTTCCCATTTTACTATTCAAATAAAACTTTTTTTGCTCAAAAATTTTTATCCCAACTAAAACCTTTTATAAAAATTTAATTATTTCATGAATAGTATTTTGGATTTCGAAAGCGACAATTCTACTACGAGTGTTGCGCCTGATTGCCAGCCTTCCCATAGGGAAAGAAATGAGTTGCTACCAAAATTTTAAAAGGTTAATTTTGAAAATCTAAAAAGCATGGTCTCCAAAAACACAGTAGGGTCTGGGAATCGATCATGCATAAGGAAGATATTAGGCACTCCATAGCATTCATTCATGAGAACCATAACCCTAAGTTGACTACAAAAATAATATGGCCTTTAAAAAAATATTTTAATTGCCAAAAAAAGAATTAAATAAATGAAAAAAGATTTTAATTTTAAAAAAAGAAATATAGAAAAAAAGAGTTATTTACAAATACTTTTATTTACAAAAAGAGAAATATAAAAAGAAAAAAGAATTATTTTAATTCCTTTAATTGTTTTTATTTTTTTTCAATTATGACTCATATTATTACTTTCTATATAAATACCAAATCATTATTAATTTTTGATTTTTATTTTAAATTTTGTATTTTATTTTTTTCTTAATTATAGCTCCAAAAGATATTTCCAATTGAGAACCAATAAACTTAAATGAGAAATTTTTATTGTTATTTTATGATATTTTTATTTTTTCTTTAATGTGTCTACTCCTAATCTAGTGGCTAATTAATTTTTAGTCCCCATTTTTTATTTGATTGCCATTCATTATAAAAAGAATATTTTTGATTGATTTTTTTTTTTAAAATTTGTTACTGGACTTTTCAAACTTAGCCTTTAAAAAAAAATCATTTTGATTTTTTTCTTTTATTAATTTTGGTTCATTAATTTGGTTTATTATTTTGTTGGCCCGGAAAAAAATAGGTGTTCACAGTCGGCCTTGTGAAGAAAATGATCTTACATCAATGAATTGCAACGAAAACGGTGGGGTCAAGGAGCTTCAGGCGCCTTTTAAGTAGCGGAGGAGCGGACCAAAATCGCGGAGGGTAGAAGCCAGTGGCAGTCACATTCCACAGTTGGTCGAGTTCGCCGACAGATGCCGTCCACCGCTGTCAGTCCTGCGTGGTTGTTCTCCGGCGAGTATTGAAGAAGCTGCGAATTTAGTCTCCTCTCAAAATCCGGTGAGTCTGATTTCTTCAATCTGGCTCTGAATCTAGATATGAATTTGTTCCCCCGTCATTTTTTTTTTCTTTTCATTGTCGCACATTTTCTTGCCTTTCTTTTTCTTCTGTCTTTTTCTAATTTTTCATTTTAATTAGTTTCAAGTTTTGGCCAAAATAATAATAATAATAGTAATAGTAATTGGATGATAAATTGCAAGAGTGTTATTATCATTGTCATTCGTCAGTGGTTGGAGGAATTGCCTGAATCAATTGGCTTACTAAGGCACTTCGTTGAAGCATGGGGAAAAAAATTAGAAGGGCATGATATTCACTATGCCGGAGAGTATTATAGGTCTGCTCATGAACCTTGTTATGCGAAAATTAACCAACAACTCTTTGAAATTTGTTCCTATGTCAACGGAGAATTCCGCATTTTTATATACTGGTACATATTAAGATCAGAAGGGAATTGCTACTCAATCAAACTATTAGGAGTGACAATATCGCATCCTCTGCCTGCTCTTATTTCTATTCCAAAAGCTTCTCTATCACAGCACAATTTTTGAAGCTTTTAGCTTATATGATATAAGGCCTTGCCTAGGATCTTGAAGTTTCATTTTGGGCATATGATATAAATGAAGTCTATGCTTTGGAAGATTTCGCTTGTGCTTATCTTATAGTTGTATTTCTTTGAACTTCCCTTCAGTCTTCAGGTATTCTATCCTGCCTTCTCACAAATTCAAGTTATTTTTTTTGTTTAAACTCTTTGGTTCTACTTGTTCTGCTTTTTCTCCTGAATTTTTAAGAGTACGCACTGTGGGAGGATTTAATATTTCTGAATATGTTTTCTTCTCGTTACTGTATGCAATAATATCCTGTGCATGGATGCTACAGTCTCATTTATATTCCTATTTCTGATTTTCATTTTGCTCCTTCCTATTTTCTTCTGCAGTAAGTAAAGCATAACAAATTCCATCTTATTGTATTTCAATTTTTTTCACTTCGCAAGCATCAAATTTGACTGGAATTTCCACTGTCTTGCAGTTAGCTATATGTTAAGAACCAGGAAAATCAGGACCTGCTTATAATGTTTCTCCAACGAATTGTAGGTGCATTCCCTCCCTTGAAGAGGATGATTTGCACTTACCGTGGCCATGACCTTGCAAGCTCTATTCAGGAACTCAACAATGTAAAATCCATCTTTACATCATTCTCTGATTGAGATTCCAAGTGCATAATAAAGCATATATATATATATGATTGAATGTTTTGGTGGCTCTAGGGTAGGGTGATTAGATAAATATCCATTTATTTTCCAGTTTCCATTCCATTGGATAGATATGCTGAAACTTTTGTTCCACACACTTCTAGAAAGTCCTTTCACACCCCAAAAACAAAAAAAATTTTAAAAATTGTTTTCATGTAAGTTAAGACAAAACTCCTCACATACTTACTCTGGATACCGTAAAATCACTTTTAAAACCATAGTTTGGTTTTCTTCCAAGCACTGTCTAATTCCCAGAAAATGTTACTAGATAATGTTGTTCATCTTGAACTTCTTATGCCACTTCAGGAAATGGAGTCAATATTTGGCCAGCCTCCTTCTAGTAGATTTGATAGCACTGTGAGTGATGGTCCTGCAAATACCCCAAAAACATGTGAAAGTCCTTCTAGTTTGACTCATACCAGCAATACTGGGGAGGCACAAATGGTGGATGTGTCCCCAAAGGAAAATACTAAAAGAACTGCCATTGCGAGTTGCGAGGTAATCCTGGGAAAGCATGTGTTCGACTTGGTTTTAGCGAATCAAATGGCCAAAGGAGATGTGCTTAGTGTGGCGAAAATTGCAGGCATAAGTGGTGCAAAGCAAACCAGTAGTCTCATTCCATTGTGCCATAACATAAGCCTTAGTCACGTACGAGTGGATTTGAAATTGAATCATAAAGACCACAGTGTAATGATAGAAGGGGAAGCCGCATCAACAGGGAAAACTGGTGTTGAGATGGAAGCCATGACCGCAGTTACTGTTGCTGGCTTAACAGTGTATGATATGTGTAAGGCTGCTTCAAAAGATATAGTTATTACAGATGTGAGACTCAAGCATAAGGCTGGTGGCAAGAGTGGAGATTGGTCCTCAGGACGATAATGTTTCAAAATATGTGCCATTTTGAATGGCACAACGACAAAGAAGCACTTGAATTGTATTATGACAAAAGGAAAAGCTGAGAGAATTAATTGAAAATTGTTAGATTAACGCAGTCAAATGTTTTGCCTCAGTCCTTCTAGTTTTGACATTAGGCTTAGATTTTTATTATTGGTAACAGTATGTTTTCAATCTATGGGAAAAGTAATCGAAAACCCTGTTTTGTCCCGTGGATGCCGAGTAGAAAATATTAAGCATGATTATTGCATTCTCAATTAATGCGTCATTAAAATAAATGGTGCCTTGTTCTAGTTCATTAGTGTTGATTGCTGGCGTCAGTTTTCACATGAAAAACACTGGTTAGTGTTGAAGTCGATAAAAGGCCCATTTGTCACTTGTCAAGGGAAACGTATTCGCAAAATGTATGATTAGAGGAGGTTTGACTTGTGCATACTCTTAGTGGAGTACTCAATTCGGAAATGCCTTTGTTTGGGATAAAAGAAAAGCAAAACGGCTAAACTAACTCCGAGGCGCTGTTCCACACGTGTTTGCAAACTATTATTATCCTTGTGAGTCACGTGCTGCAGCTGAACTGGTAATTCATCAAAAATCAACAGGTCTATCCCCATTAAGCTAGCCACCCTAGCTGGGGCATACGCAGCGTTGTTCTTCTCCCTGGGACAAGATAAAATAGGGAAACTTAGAGAGACTACTTACAAACGAAAAATGTGAATGGATTTGAACAGTCTTTCTCCTTTTAATCTCTCTATTAATTTAATCTTTAACAAATATTACTTCCACTAGAAGTGATTAAACTACACATTAGGGTTGCGCTAACAACTCTAGGGAATTGTTTAGTATTTAAGACACTTAAGTTGCACCCCCTTCTGGCCTCCTCATTGTTACTCGCTTCCTAAGGTGGTATTTTTGTTTCAAATATAGGAATTATTAAATTAGTTTCATTAATAAATCATTGTGTGAAACATTTAACGTGGACATCTTTAAAAATTGTTTAAAAATTTGTCATTAATAAGTATTGAAAAAACTTGATTACTAATTTATATAGCCTATAAACCTTGTAGCAGCTTTGTGATTGATCCATGTGGATATTGTATATTTTTTTTAAAAAAAAATTATTGTTGCCTTCCTATTGGTTGATAGGGGTATTTTCCTAAAAAAAAGTTGTTTTGTTTTCATTTATGGTCTATTCATTTTTAGTGCATACACCTAGCTGGGTTAGTTGTTTTGTTTTCATTTATGGTCTATTCTTTTTGTTGTTGATTTTCCACTCTTCTTTGGGTCTATAAATCTGAGTTTGGGTATGCGTTTTTCTTTTTTTGTGTTGGCGCATGTATTTGTTTTGGACGTTCTATTTCCATTGGTTGGGAGCGTTTCCATTTTACTTTGCATTCGCGGGGTGGATTTTCAATGGTTTTTGAGTTGGTGATCATATAAATATAGAGTTGTTGGTGGGCTTTTGTGCTGTGCTTTTTCCACTGTTTCTTAAGGTTGTGGGGTTATATTATATACGAATCTGTTTTTGCTTTGTCTTTTGGTTTTTACTACTTGGTGTTGATTGTTTCCTTTTTTCTTTGCTGCAGAGGGTTATCTAGAAGAATGGATTGCTCTATGGAGATTTCTTTGGCGTTGATGAGGTCAGGTTGCTGTGATAAACATCTCTGTGTTTGTTGTGGGTGCATATGATGACATGGTTTGGCTTTTATGGAAGGTGGTGAGGTCTTTGAATTTTATTCTCATGAGGAGGCAGGTATTAAGATTCTCTGACTTCTTGGGGTTTGTTTGTGTGCTCTTTCTTCTTGTCATGGACTGTTAACCTTTGTCCGTGTTCATTTTTTGGGGTGTTTTTTTGGAAGTTATCGAAGATCCATGTTGCAGCTTTGGCCAACGACCAATTGGATGGGTTTCAGTTGATTGTTAGAAATAGAGTTGGGAATCAGGGCCGGCCCTTCAGGGCTGGCGAGCTTAAAAGGGCCGGCCCTCCAAGGTTGAAATTTTAAAAATATCCCAATTTGCTAGGCCCAACCCTTAAGCTACAGGGTTAGGGCCGGCCCGCGGGCTTTTGGCCCGTTTGAGAAAAAAATACTATTTTTTATATTTATCATATTTTTTATAAAAATATAAAAATAAACCAATGAAATTATTAATAAAAGACATAAATATGAATAAAATTAAGTCACAAATATAAAATATCATCATATATAAATATTCATCAACATCTAAGAACATCTAAAACATTCATTAACAAGATAACAACATCTAAAAGTTTTATCTATAATGCAATTGTGCAATAAATAAACATTATCATTAATCTTTTGAAACTTCATCATCACTATAATTAATTACTTGTCTTTATAAGTACGTTTTTCTTTCGTAACAAAAATATCAGGTTTTTCTTCTTTATAAGAATTTTATTTTTAAATTTTGCAATCTAACTCTTATTTTACTTTAATGTGAGAAACATTGTTGTTGAAACTCATGAATTTCTAATTCAAATTATAGAATCACAAGTTATATAAGTATAAAAATATTCTATTATCAAATATATATATAGTTTAAAAATATCAACGCATATAATATAAATCAAATCATTATTAAAGTCCAAATTAACCAATTTTTTAAAAATTTAATTAGATAAATTATTGTCTAAAACTAAATTTAATTTTAAAATGATAATAATAACTAAATATTTGAAATATTATTAACAATGTAAAAAATTAATAACATTAATATTATATAAAAAAATTTAAAAAATAAAAAATTATAAAAGGGCCGGCCCTTTTAAGCCCTCGGCCCTCCAGGGCTTATTTCTCATTTTAAGAGAAAAATAGCAAGCCCGGCCCTCATAATTTCATGCTATAAATGGGCCGGCCTGATGGGCTCGGCCCGTTTTCCCAACTCTAGTTAGAAAGGTGGTAGATATTTTTTCAGAGGCTTTGAAGTTTGAAGTAGTTTGTCCCTCTGCAGGCCTTGTGCTCATCTGAATGGTGGGTGGTAGATATTTGTTGACTTTTCTATCATCTAAATTATTGAACACATAATAGATGCGCATTATTCACTCACGTTTAAATTTTTGAAGTTAAGCGGTAATCTGATTCACTGTACATTGTGTGGATCTCGTATGCTTTTTGGGCTTATTCTAAACACGCACACTGCTCTTCTAGAGGCTGAAGATTATGCCATCGTCCTTTAATGGGTTTTAAAGCTGAGAGAATTTTTAGTAATACACTTCGTCTGTTTTTAGAATCAATTCTGCTTAATTATGTGTTTCCATTGCAGTGATGCTTGATGCAAATTTTTTTCTACGTCTTTTACAGGGTTCGCAGGTTATGATGACTTAACAAAAGTGCATGATGGTTACCAAGATCCAAGCATCGCTCTCCTCAAGCGAAACTTCGGCCGTCATACTTAATACAATAATCCTCCTGCTCTAAATGTGTGACTACAAAATGGGTCTTCGGATGGAAGGAGTATATATCTTTTTTTTTTTTTTGGTATTCTTTTGGTGATATTTCTACTTTCTAGCTTTTCAGCCGTCGCATTCTTTCTGTATTGAATCAGTACCAGTGAATTTGCAAGTTACAATACATTCCAGTCCACCGTGACTCCTTATTTTTTTTGGTGGAGAGACAAGAATGAACGACTGTGGTGTAATAACGACACACAGCTCTGTTTCGGGCTTTCCAGCAACAAACAAAGGGTTCTACGACATAGTAATTTATTTTTGACGCACTATCAATTATCCAAAAATAAATTTTATATGCATGAGAATAGCATCGCAGTAAGGAAATTAATAAACTCAACATTTACCTATATTCATTTTTAACTGTTTCATGTTATTCGTAACTTAGCTGATGGCATTTAAAAATCTCTATTTTTTTAACTTAAATTAATTATTAAATCAACTAGGACTGTTTAAGTCACAACATTGTCAGTTTCATCCCTTGTGAATATGTTAAACGCTGGATAAAATTAATTTATAATGTTGCCACGTATACTAACGGATATTAAAAAACTTAACAGCTTTCATTTAAGAATCATTAAATATTACCTTTACTAATTCATCAGTATCAAAGACTTGGTAGTTACGCCGGAGTTTGTAAGGATGGGTTTGAAGGGAGTTTATTTCTTCCTTCCATTCTGTGGAGTTTTATATGAAAAAAGGAATTAACATTTAGTGTTATAGCACATAAATCCATCTAATTAGGTTAGATATCAAGAAAGAAGGCCAAACGTACATGGGTATCCCCAGCGTCACTAATTAGGTTAGTTATTTAGTATTTAGCTAAAATAAATTAACTGGAATGCAAAGAACAAAATAGAATTCTTAAATTCATTCTAATTCTTTAATCTAATTATATCAATTTGATGTAAAATGAAAATTGTAAAAATAGAAATGCAATTCATCATAAAATTGAATACACAATCTAGAGCACGAATTCTTCCTTCCAAGCAGAACAATAAGGGGGAAAAAAACAATTGCGCGCAAAGAAGAAAAAGCATTCATTGTCTAATGGATACAAGAGAGTTCTTCTAGGACCTTTGACATAGATTCAAATCCTACTTGATGCAAATTTTTTTGCTTATATATGTGTGTGTGCATGTAAGTTGATTTCAATATCAAGAGAAGGATTTTGAATTAATATTGTGCTCAAGATTGAAATTGTTTTGGCCTTAATATATGTGCGTTGAAATTTTTGGCTATCTCAGCGTTGTGACTCTTCAATAGTAGAGCATACATAATTAATCAAGAAAAAAAAAATTGCTCCTTTAAATCGTTCCTCTCTGAAAAGTATAATAAATGATGGTCCCCTTCTTTGATAGTAATCCTTTCAAAAATACCCTCCATTTTAAGCTCATCTCTAAATTATAAGTATTTCATGACGGTCAAAATATCATCAAATGAAATTACTTTGGCCACACCTCTTGAATGATTTCTATCTATTCACCCAAATTCCTCGATAATAGAGCATAACAATCATAAAACGAAATGGCCTCTTGAGTCTAATGACTAAAAACAATTATGGCGAAAATACTAAGAAAATTACCTTATCAGGTAATATTAAACACAACAGTCAGTTCTAATAAACGAAATAGTAAAATAATAAATAAACCGACAATGATATCCTCTTATCTAATACAATTGAAAAGGTACGTGGTTATCTAATGAATGAGTATATGGATTATCTAATGATATTTTTAGAAATGACACAATTTTTCTGAAGATAAGCGAATATTA